AATAATTAATATGAAATGTGTTTGGGTTTTTATGTTGGGGGGGGGGGCAGTTTGGCCTTATTAAATAAACAAGTATTCATTCTTAAAAGTGGATCCATTAGATCTCATCCTGCTGAAGACAGAGCTGTACAAGATTAATTCTGATTGCTATGCTAGGCATTGATGAAAATTGTTAGTCAGGGCAGTGACCTCCTCCCTTGCTCTAATACTCTCCCTCCTTAAGGCTCCAGTAGAGTTTTCAATCATAGACAGACAGTCTGAAAGGAGACAGCTACTGCTCTGCTCTCTCTTTAAAAAATCTGCAGAGCTTTGAGAATCCTTTGTTACCCTTTATTGGCTAACATAGGGTGGTAAATCCTAAAGTAGCATTCCATTAAAAAAAGAAAGCAAAAACATCAGTTTTTGCTGTAATACTCATCTTCAGTCTGGATCTATAGTACCCATAGTACTTCTTTTCTACCACCAGATGTCCTCAACCCTTCAGGTTGAATGGCAGCCTGCACCATTCAACCAGCTTCCTCTAAATCCAGGCCTGTATCCTGTAACTGGACAGCGTAAAGAAAAGTAGTGCAGCGATGAGCTCATATCTCTGTCACTCTGCTCTTATCTCCTATCTGCATGCTTCTTGTCAGCACATAAAGGGACTGGCTCCTTTTGCTGCTTCTCCCTTCCCTGGTCTGAGCTCTTCTATACAGGTATGCAAGGAGCAGATTTCAGGTCAAATTTAGAATGCACTTTAAACAAGGTGCTGACTGACTCCTCTAGGTGCTGTTATTACTGCTTCTTTCAATGTTTTCTGGTTCTTCTCCAACTAACCTACAACTAACCTACAAGCAGTGATTTGATGTATCCTTGTAGAATTTGCATTGTTCTCATGTACTCCTAAATGGCACTTTTAAATAAAGAATAAAAAAAAAAAATGAAATAAAACTCAATCTCATTATAGTTTCTTTTCAACTCTATGTCTGTAAACACATGAAAACACATCTCGGGTACATGAAGTATTGATGTTTTAATGCTTAACTCTCAAGAAAAGCTCCCTAATGTCTTGCTTTGCTGTGTGGGGCCGATTGATGGAGTTTAATGGGCTTTTTTTGATGCAGCATCCATTTGATGCTCGGCATTCGAAGGCTCTGCTATTGTCCTCCTCATGGAAGCCCCTTCTCTCCTTTTAATTAATGCGGAGAAACATCTATCAGTTTAATGGTACATCTGGTATTCAGTCTATATGAAAGCTCCTTGCTAGCGCTTGATTTAAAGGGGATTTATTGGAGCAGATAGGGATGGAATATTACCAGATACCACATCACGGGAAGATTAATGGAAGCTTCTGTAACGGATGCTCTTGTTTTAAACTTACTGTTGTTCAGTAGTGTAAAGATTTATACTACAGCTGGGTCGGAGTCTACCTGCTGAATGGATGGAAGACGAAACTGAAATACTAGGAGCGGTTTATCACGGCCGTAACATGAGCTGCTTGGCAACAAAGACGTATGAAGACAAGTCTTGTTAGAGAAACCTTGGCAGATGATGGGTGACCGGGGGGAACTATTCACACTATGGGGACACAGATGGGCGGGTCACGCTGTCATATTTGCTTGGGATGGATGGAGTACATTGATCATCAATACATTGGTTCTGTTGGGCTGGGTTCACACCTAGGCGTATTGAATATGCACGTTTGTCGTGCGTTTTGCGTCTCGCATTTTTACAGCGATTCGCGGTAAAAAAAACGCGCGACAAACGCCCGTTTCCGAGGGCTACTTGGCTGTATCCCAATGGAAACGCGAGACCAAAACGCCCCAAAGAGGTACATATACTTCTTTGGGCGTAGGCCGTTTTGTATCGCGTTCGGACGGGCGGAAATACGGCAAGGTGTGAACCAGACCCATTGAATACAATGGGATTTAGATGTTTGAGCGTTTTGTAGAGCGTTGGTCCAGCGTTGAACGCGCTACAAAACGTTCAGGTGTGAACCAGGCCTTAAAGTGTATCTAAATAAACCCCAACAATGACCTTCTCTTATTTGCTGTCTTTTGCTCTGGCAGTTAAAATGTTCCATAATATCTGTCTGATAGGTGCACAAATGACGGGCTGATTTTTGTTTCTTATCTTGCCCAGACATTCATTTTAAAATGCAAAAATAAAAAAAAGCCTTTAAAACCTGCAAATAATTGAATTTTCCAGCAGCTGAGGTCAACAAGACAGGCCATTGGGCTTTGCCCAGACCCTTGATGAGCAATGCACACTTGTTGGTGTAACAGTTACCTATCAGAAATCATCAAAATGTGACATGAAACCATTTTGTTATGTAGCAGACACCGCTACGACCTATCTCAGACAATATTGGCTCTGACGCTAGCCTGATTCTAGCTGACTTGATCTTACAAGTCCTCAAAGGTGCGTTATGACGAACAATTTTTGTCCCTTTGTGGTGCATTGACATGAATTGAACTCCTATCTCCAGGAATAAAAAAATAAAAAATAAAAATCCCATTGCAGTGAGGCTGCCCCTGCAATGGAAGGTCTAACTGCACATATATTTTTAGGGATATTGTGTAAAGGACTTTTGCTTACCTGATCCATCCTCCTGCAGGCTCAGAGACTGGCACCTGCAGCCTTTTACCCTCTACAATCCATCAGTCGGAGGCCCACTGACATCATCACATACAATGCAGGTCCCATAGCCCAGCAGTATACATGAGGACGCTGAGGGATAGTCCACGAGCTGAAGCATAGGAGGGATAAGCTGAGTGACAATGGCTGGGGGAGTGGAGATCAGGTAAATAAAAGTCCTTACCTAAGAATTTTATTTGAGACGCCGAGGGACAGTCCACGAGCTGGAACGTAGGAGGGATAAGGTGAGAGCCAATTGCCGGGGCAGTGGGAATCAGGTAAGTAAAGGTACTTTTCTCAGCTACCCTAGGCATAAACTAGCAGGTAACCCTTGCAGCGCAGGGGCAGCCTGACTGCAAGGGGAGTTTTTTAATTATCCTGGAGGTAGGCTTTAGTACACTATGATACTACGTGTTTTTGACAGACCAGAGGGAGCATGAATGGCCAGCAAATTACTGGTTGCATTTTCGGTACTCTTGAGGACAGTACTAACCTACCAGAGACTTTAAACATTAAACATTTAAGGCTTTAACACACTGCAGTGGACCAGGAAGGTGTGAACAGGCTCCAACAGTAGGTACCTTAAAGTCACAGGTAGCACTTAGTTCAGGAAGGCCCGAAGTGAAAAAAATAAATAAATAAGCAGAGGGCATACATGACTAGGTGCATAGGGCAGACAAGCTAAAGGGTTAACGAGGGTTCGGTCTTGGGACATGGTCACTTACCTGATTAGACAGGTCAAAAGGTTAGGTGGGGCTTGAACGGTGGTCTGAGGAGGAGAGTCTTCTCTGCAGCAGTTGGAGATTGTCTGAGGTAGAGTGAACTTCCCTCCCGCCCGCCCAACACATTTTGGTGTTAGGCTGTGTAGTTATGCGTTTGGGGTCTTTGGAGGCCATCAAATAATAGGTGCTTGTGGTGAAGGTTTGGGGACCTGTCTTGGTATGGGTCCTCTATTCATCTATTGGATATTTGGAGTGTATGCGGTCAGTTGGTGGTTGTCCCCGAGACGGTGTGTTGCGGCTGGGGGCCTAACATGTTGTAGTACTGCCGCAAGTAACGGATCAAAGGTGTGGCCTTCAAAGACCTGCAACTTTGTTTAGGTATCTATGATAATTGTTTATATATAGTATGTTTTATATATCAAGTTTGTTAATAAAGGGCTGCCAAGGCCATTTTATACCATTTTGAAGTGTGGTCTATTTATTCCTTACAAGGACAGGTGGTGGGTGGTCTTGGGGGCTCATAGTGGGAAAGAATGGGGACATCTATGCTACCTCAGTCATGTCTTCAAGAGTACTGAAAATGCAACCAGTGATTTGTTGGCCATCCATGCTCCCCCTGCTCTGCCAAAAACTGCTAGCAGTAGTTGGTATCCTCACTCTTCTTCCCATTGACAGAATATAACTTTCCCATGCTTGGCTGGACTCTCCCTTCTATATTGTTGCATCACATTACTACAGTGTAACCAACATAAGCAGAACTTGTTCATTTCCCAGAGACTGCCGGTTGATTTAAAGCACAACTAAGCTCTCCTCTCCTGTGGAGACAAAGACAATTTTTACTTAGCCTCTATTTAGTCCTGCACTTGCAAAGGCGCTACACATTAAATCAGATACCGCACCAGAGGGCTTGACATTTTTGGTTGAGGACTGAGGCAAAAACACTGGCAACTATGACAGTTATCACCAGAGGTCTGTCTTAAAGGTAACTGTTTTTGGAAATAGTTAAATCGGTGGGTTTAGTTCCACTTTAGGTCACCCATCTGGCTGTGGAGTGCAGGAGGAGTGCCATGGGCAAGGAATATAATACAACAGCCTAAAGCATCTCATTTGAGATTCTCATACTCACCACTCAAAGTCCGCCTCAGTACAAACGCAAGGTTCAGAGGACATGGCCCCGGCGTACCTCCCCTGCATGCACTTCCTCTCCGATCTCCTCTTCATGTACGTCCTCTTGGCGCCCATGATGCACGCTTCCCCCTGGATGGAAAAAGATCCAACATTACTTTGAGATTTAAAAAAGAAAACACTCTCTGACAATGACCAAAGCATTTCTCCTTTGTAAAGAAAAAATGCCGCAACCTCTGTCTGTAGGCACATGGTTTTGCCGCACTTCTGACATTTTGAGTTTTTGCAGCCAACGATTGAAATGTTTTCATTTTGATACAAGCATGATCAATAAAAATCTGAAGGGCTCAGCCCGGAGCGGATTCTGGATGTGTTCGGTAGTCCTGCAGAAAAGGACTGGAAAGGGGTGATGAGACTGCTGAGGCAGTTCAAGCTAAATTTCAATTTATTGCCTTCTATGGTTCCTCCCTCCCCCCTTCATCAACATGCTAATGAGTTTTGAATGAAAGCTTTCCCTTTTTATTGCATACCTTATTCTAGACCCAGGGGGTGTCACCACTTGGTCTTTGTGTTTCTTTGTACAATGCAGGCAGATCATGGCTGGCAGGAGGGTCCGACAGGGTGCCGTACATAGCTTCCTGAAAACATCACAGCACCCTGCATCAATACTCCCCTGAAGAGCCCTCAACCCTGATGTGAGCAGTGGGCTGGCTCTTGGGAAGAGTTATGCAAATAGAAAAATGCCTTGGTAGGTGAGTGTCTCTCTAGAGTAGTAGGCATTCTTCGGCAGGCTATATTTGCATGCACACCACCCTAGGTAACACCCACATGTGATTCTAAGCCTCCATGACTGAAAGAACTCAATGAAAGGGGCATGACATTGACAGTCATCTAGATGATGCTGGACATGCCCCAACCAGGAAATGAGGCGGGCTCTATCTAACTTGCTGCAGCTTCTAATGCACATTTTCAGATGCTCCCAGTGTGCAGTGACATCAGAGGAAGCCATTTCAGTCCAGGAGAGGAGCCGCTACAAATGTGCAAGACGGAAGGGGCGGAGGTCAGATATAAGACTGAAGGGAAGGACGGAGGTCAGATAGAAGACTGAAGAGAAGGACTGAGTTCAGCTTTCAGCATTGTCATCAGTTAAGGAGCTCACTGGATTTCTGTCAGGATCAGCACTTGAAGTACTTGAAGTGATTTTAAAGAGACAAAACCCATTATGCTGTGCATGCGCTGCTTTTCTCATTTTTCCAAAACAAGATGTAAAAATAAATAATAAAATGAAAAAAAAAAAAGGCCATCTTATTCTCCCAGCCTTTAAGACCCGTAAATAACTTTGAGTCTTCCAGCAGCCGAGGTTAACAAGACAGGCCATCGCGCTCTTCCCAGACCCTCGACGCACGGCGCACACTTGTCCGTGTAAAACTTTCCTATTAGAAATCATCAAAATGTGACATGAAACCATTTTGTTATGTAGCAGACACCGCTGCAATCCATCACTGCCAGCCTCTACAATATTCGCTCTGACGCTAGCCTGGAGCGGCTGACAACTCGCAATCAAACGCTGACAAGTCCTGCTCCTCTTCAGCTTGTTCGTGTCAGCGAACGTCAAGCTGAACACGAGGTAGAAATAGGACACACGGAACGAAAAAAAAAATTCTCATCTGGCTGCATTGAAAAGATAGGAAGGGGGAGTGGAAAAAAAAGGAATCATCATCTGAATAAACTCTATTATTTTCTAGATTTCGGTTTTGGAAGCGAGATGTCAACGCGGGAAGGACGCGGTGAAGTTGCGCATAATCGGCGGTGATGGGAAAACGCTGAAAGTTTTACGACTTCTCTCCTGACTTTCAAATGTAATTAATTGAGCGGATTCTGAGAGAGAACATGCTGATTTGCATAAAAATTACATCTGTTAATGCGTTCGCTACTGTACACATAATTAAGCAGCCTTTGGCTCCCGGCAGTTAATATTTTATGGGCTTATATGAATTCTCAATTAAGCAAACAACTTGTTTATATCATTGTTTTCACTGCATCGGGGTTGTGTTCATTAGATCCCAAAAGAGCCAATTGTTAAAAAGAAATTGTGCTGTAAGGTCAAAAGTTTGGGAATCATCACACCTATGTGGGCTTGTTGGACATCCCATTCCAAAACCATGGCCATGAATATGAAGTTGGCTCCCTCTCACCATGGCCATTTATATGGCATTGGCTTCCTCTCCCCATGGCCATTGATATGGAGTTGGCCTCCCTTTGTGACTATAACAGACCCTTCTTAGAAGGCTTTCCAAGATTTTGGAGTGTGGGAATTTGTAATTACTCAGGCAAAAGAGCATTTGTAAGATTGGGTACTGATGGATGAGAAGACCTGGCACACAATCTGCATTTGAATTCATCCCAAAGGTAATCCGTAGGGTTTTGTAGGCCTACATGAATTCTCAATTGAGCAAACAACTTGTTTATATAATTGTTTCACTGTATCAAGGTTCTGTTTATTAGATCCTAAGGGCAGGTTCACACCATTTTGCGAACTCGATCTGGTCCAGAAAATGGTGTGAACATGCCTGCAGTTTTAGTGCATTCTAGACCAGGCAAAATGAGACATGCAGTATTTTTCTGGTCTGGTCCAGACTGCGCAGGTTTGAACAGAAGCCAGAAATAGCATAGGAATACATTAGGATGCATTTTGGGTCTGGAAACAATCTGGTCTGGTCTGGAGATGATCTGGATGTGGTGTGAATGGGCCCTAAAAGAGCAAATTCTTAAAAGAAAATTGTGCTATAAGTTCAAATGAGTGGGGACACCTGACCATCACACCTATTTGAGCTTGTTGGAAATCCCATTCCAAAACCATGGACATGAATATGGAGTTGTCCTTCCCCCCCCTAACAGACTTTTCTGGGAAGGCTTTCTATAATATTATGGAAGATGTCTGTGGAAATTTGTATCTATTCGGGCAAAAGAGCAGGTTCTGATGTGGGATGAGAAGACCTGGTTCACAATCATGCATCTGAATTCTTCCCAAAAGTATCCCTTAGGGTTTTATAGGCTTATATGGATTCTTAATTGAGAAAACACTTGTTTATATCATTGTTTTCACACTGTATCAAGGTTCTGTTTCTTGGTTCCTAAGGTCAAAGGTTTGTAGACACCTGACGATCACACCTATATGAGCTTGGTGGACACACAATTGCCAAAACCATGGACATTGATATGGAGTTGTCCTGCCTTTGTGGAAATAACAGACTCTTCTGAGAAGGCTTTTCACATGTTGGAGGGTGTTTATGGGAATTGGTACCCATTTGTGAGGTCAGGTACTAATGTTGGATGAGGTGACCTGGCTCAAATCAAGCATTTCAATTCATCCCACAGATGTTCAGTAGGGTTTTATAGGATTATATGAATTCACAATTAAGCAAACATATTCATTATAGAATTGTTTTTACTGTATCAAGGTTTTGTTTATTAGATCATAAAAGAGCAAATTGTTAAAAGGAAATTGTGCTATAAGGTCACAGGTTTGGGAATCATCACACCTATGTGGGCCCGTTGGACATCCCATTCCAAAACCATGGTCAAAAATATAGAGTTGCTCTCATTGTGGCTATAAAAGACTCTTCTGAGAACGCTTTCCATGAGACTTTGAAGCATGTCTGTGGGAATTTGTACCAATTCAGGCAAAAGAGCAGTTGTGAGGTCAGGTACTGATGTTGGATGAGGTGACCAGGCTCACAATCTACATTTCAATGAATCCCAAAGGTGTTACTGGGGGTTTTTTAGGCTTATTTGAAACCTCAATTGAGCAAATGGCTTGATTATATTATTGTTTTCACTCTACCAAGGTTCTGTTTATTAGATCCTAAAAGAGCAAATTGTTCTCAGGGTTAAAAGGAAATTGTGCCACAGGTTCAAAAGCTTGTGGACATCTGATCAACACATCTATGTGAGCTTGTTGGACATCCCATTCCAAAGCCATGGCCATTAATATGGAGTTATCCTTCCTTTGTTGCTATAATGGCCTCCATCCTTCTCTGTAGGCTTTGCACAAGATTTTGGAGTGTGTCTTTGGAAATTTGTGTCCATGCAGCCAAAACAACATTTGTGAGGTCAGGTACTGATATTGGATGAGAAGACAAAGCTAACAATCGATATTCCAATTAATTTCAAAGGAGTTCAGTTGGGTCAAGGATAAGGCTCTGTGCATACCACCCGAGTTCCTCTATATTAAAAAAATCCAACCATTCCATGCAGGAACAGAAAACAGGTCTATACTTTCATGTAGCCATCCCCATGCAGGAGGGACTCTTCCACAATGTTGTGTAGCCAGCCCTATGCAGGAGGGACTCTTCCACAATGTTGTGTAGCCATCCCCATGCAGGAGGGACTCTTCCACAATGTTGTGTAGCCAGCCCTATGCAGGAGGGACTCTTCCACAATGTTGTGTAGCCAGCCCTATGCAGGAGGGACTCTTCCACAATGTTGTGTAGCCAGCCCCATGCAGGAGGGACTCTTCCACAATGTTGTGTAGCCCACCCTATGCAGGAGGGACCCTTCCACAATGTTGTGTAGCCAGCACCATGCAGGAGGGACTCTTCCACAATGGGGTGTAGCCAGCCCCATGCGAGAGGGACTCTTCCACAATGTTGTGTAGCCAGCCCCATGCAGGAGGGACTCTTCCACAATGTTGTGCAGCCAGCCCTATGCAGGAGGGACTCTTCCACAATGTTGTGTAGCCAGCCCCGGGCAGGAGGGACTCTTCCACAATGTTGTGTAGCCACCCCCATGCAGGAGGGACTCTTCCACAATGTTGTGTAGCCAGCCCTATGCAGGAGGGACTCTTCCACAATGTTGTGTAGCCAGCCCCATGCAGGAGGGACTCTTCCACAATGTTGTGTAGCCCACCCTATGCAGGAGGGACCCTTCCACAATGTTGTGTAGCCAGCACCATGCAGGAGGGACTCTTCCACAATGGGGTGTAGCCAGCCCCATGCGAGAGGGACTCTTCCACAATGTTGTGTAGCCAGCCCCATGCAGGAGGGACTCTTCCACAATGTTGTGCAGCCAGCCCTATGCAGGGGGGACTTTTCCACAATGTTGTGTAGCCAGCAATATGCAGAAGGGACCCTTCCACAATGTTGTGTAGCCAGCCCCATGCAGGAGGGACTCTTCCATAGCGTTGTATAGCCAACCCCATGCAGGAGGAACTCTTACACAATGTTGTGTAGCCAGCCCTATGCAGGAGGGACCCTTCCACAATGTTGTGTAGCCGGCACCATGCGGGAGGGACTCTTCAAATTTAGTTCTGCAAGGCTGTAGCCAGACTAAGCTGGCTTTGGTAAGAACAGGCCTCCTTCAATGGGTACCCAGAAGGAACTCAAAGTATAGAAGTACAGGTGGGGCCTGTTTGTAGCACAGCAGCTGCAGGAAAGGCCCATAGAGAGCTCCAAGTAAAATGTATATATATATTTCTTGTTTAACTGAGTAAAAAATAATACATTTTATTTTAGTATTGAACATAATGTATATACAGTATAAAATAAACACTATTCATCCCCTTGAAAATAAGAGAGCAATCTATGCTACATGCAACAGCAGCACAAATTGCTTGCTCGTAGATACTCAGCATCCTGTCTAGTGCTAGTTGAATGTTCAGGGAATGCAATCCCCACTGATGCAGTGTAACCCCACAACTGTAACGGAAGACCCCTGCTACATCTCTAATCATGTTCTTTTAATCTTCTCACTCCCCGGAGAATTCTCCCCACGGGGTTGGATTCTCTCATAGCGATACCTTTCCATTATTTTGTTTGCGCTGTCATTTCTACCCAAGTGACATGTCTGCTTCCCAGGAGGTCTGCCGAAATCTCCGGGGCCATTAATGATACCATTGTGCAAAGACAGGAGATAGTAATTATACGACTAGCTGATTAACGTTGCTCATTGCCGCAAGCCGTCGCCGGAAGAATAAGTGTTCGCAGTTGCTGTAATCAGAGGTGAATTAATTGTGGGAATGGGACTGAGACGCGGATATTATATGCTGTAATTTGAGTGTAAGTATTTTATTCTAAACATATCAGCGAGAGGGATGTAAAAAGAATTATAGCTATTACTGTGGAAGGAAGCGGCGCCTCCTGATCACCAACCACAGGCAGTCGGCGGTTCTCTATCTCTATAACTGGATCTGCCCGTCTATTTTTTGTTACCAGGGGCGGCGCTCTGAGGAGTGTGTCTGTGCCACCTGCTGGCCAAAATGAAGAATGGTGGGAAACAAAAAGTGCAGTAGAACAGTATCTGAGCAAAAAGGTCCGCGTTGGACCTTTGTGACTTTTTAGCAGTTGGCCACTAGTTGCTCTGTATTTATTCTTGTTCCCACTGAGGCAACCCTGAGGTCATCAACCTACATTGATGATGCAGTGAAATCATACCTCCCTAAGGGTATCCAGTGATGGCCACAAAATCCTCATTTTCAATAAAGTTGCATCTGTGAGGAGTTTCTTTCAATGGTATCATCTATGTATGTTCTGTTGTGCGTGATTTTGCCCAAATTACGGTTAAAATTCTGACTGCTTCGTTAAAATGTTTACTCATTTTAATTGAATTTACTTTGCAAGATCTAAAAACACGAAAACTATAATAACTTTTACCAAAACCACACAGTGAACACAAATTCCCAGTATTTTCTCTTCAACCTAAAAAAATTGGCTGTGCATGCTTCATATTGCATGGCCAAAAGTATGTGGACCTCCTTCCAAATTATGAAGGTCAGGTGTTCCCAGTGAAGGGTACTGTTAATACGACAGCATACACAGACATATTAGACCATTGTGCTCTTCTGAGCTTATGGTAGCAGTTTGGAGAAGGCCCTTTTCTGTTTCAGCATGACTGTCCTCTGTGTACAAAGCCAACTCCATCAAGACATGGTTTGATGAGTTTGGTGTGGAAGAACCTTGAGTGGCCTGCACTGGGCCCTGACCTCAACCCTACTGAACACCTTTTGGATGAATAGGAACTTCAGTGGTGAACCAGGTCTTCTCATCCAACATTAGCGCCTGGCCTCATGAATGGTCACAAATTCCCACATATACTCTTCAAGGTCTTGTGGAAAGTCTTCCCAGAAGAGCAGAAGCTGTTATAGCTGCAAAGGGTGGACAACTCTATCTTGATTCCCAAGGTTTTGCGAAAGGGTGCCCCAGGCTCCAAGCAACAAGCTCATACTGCTGTGATGGTCAGGTGTCCACAAACTTTCACTCAGTAAAAAGAAAACAAATATTTTGCACCTGACTATGAAGCTGCCAAGGAAGATAGTCTTCGGGTTTGCAACGTCTGTCAAAGATTGACTTGTAGTCCACTTTCACCAGCTGCCATTCAGATCGATGACCAAAATGCCCGAACACTCTGTTTAAAAACAAAAATAAATAAACTTCCAATAACTAGCATTCTCCATCTTCCATATCATTAACTGGATTGGTTACAACTATATTGATACAACATTAACTTAGTGCACTTTCTGATAAATGTTTCCAAATTTCCATATGACCTCCAGACATGTAACAGTCATGCACCCGTGGAATATGTTTAAGTAGGAATCAATCTAAAAATGATAGTTTGGGTATAGGAAGAATCTGGTGGACTGCGAATGCGTGAGATCTCCCCATCTGTCTCCATTCACCTTGAAGTTTTGGTTGATGTCGCCCACATTGAGGTGTTCCCATTACATTGTCCAAACTCCCCAGAAGGTATTAGAAATTGGCAGGAGATTTAACCCTAACCAATCGCTACAATATCACTTTTGAGTGTCCTCCCTCCTCCCTTACTATCATAGAAGGTGTGGTGGGAGCGCTGGACCCCACAAATAGAGAGTCATGGAAGATTTCCAGCTCATAGGAGGCATAGCTATGTTGGATGGGGTACCCTAGGGTCCCTGAATAGCTTAAACAAAGTATAAAGGGAAAGCACACCAATAATTTATAATGAGCACGGTAAAATTTGGAAAAAAATTTGCTATAAAAGGCAGGAGACAAAAGCCAACATGTACCGGGGGCTCAAAAATCCCCCTTTATCAAGGTCGGTGACTGCACTACCATTATAATAGCTTTCGTTGTCTTGCAGTTGTGTGTCCAGTATACAGTAACCTTCTATCACAGCCACCATCCGAACCCTGATAAAGGAAGATTTTTTAGCCCCCATATGATGTTGGATTTTGTCTTTTTCCCTTTCTTCAGATTCCTCCTACTCCATATGTCATAACAATCTTTGACAGCCTACTCAGGGCCAAGGCACAGGTTCTCTTTAATACTGGCCACACCAGCTCCACAACCTTCCCTTCGCTCCTCATTACTCCAAATGTTGGCTGGGGGTGAAGAATATTACTTGGTACTTCCAGATATGGGGTAGCATGTGACTCCCTCCCCTTCCTCCCACGTCATATTGCCTGTGCTTGGTGATTGGCTGCTCAGGCACCCAGTGCTGTCACATAAAGGTGAGCCGAGAATCCCCACCCTTCTCTAAGCTCCACAGTCTCCGAATTCCCTACATGGCAAAAGCACACGTTCGATAACACAAAACAACTAGCGGGTCACATCTACAGGTTTGGACGACTCCACCCCCGGAGGACGTAGGAAGGTTTTAGTTGTAGGTTGGAGTGCTTGTTTAATGTCTTCTTTAAATGTCGGAAGCTGCAATAACAACGTCTGCTACTGGCTGACGCCATATGTGCTTTATGTAAATAGGACGTGAGATTCCGGCACCACAAGCTGCCGATCGCCATAAAATGAAGCTCTTCGACGCGGGGAGTCATAAAATAGCGCAAAGGAGTACTAAATAAAGTACACGGAAAAAACACAACCTGTTTTTTTTCCCCCGAACGTTCTCCTTCTGTAGCGTTCCCTTAGTAATATTTAAATGAGGCGCGACTCATCGAGGGCTACGGGTGAATATCGCCCAACCGTCTCACTGCAGAGGTAAAAGGTCTGAGAGCTCCTGCAGGGCCCAAACCTTCCTCCAGGCAGAAAGCGATCAATTGCGGCTGAAATCTAAAGTGCAGAGTAGGTATCTCACTCCTTACCAGAACAGTGGCTACCCTGTACATACAGGTGGGTGCTTGTAGTGACCACGGATGCAGGGCCGGAATCCCAGCAAGGCCACCGAGGCCCGGCCTCGGGGCGGCACACCTGACGCCCGGGAACATGGAGTTCCGGGCGTCAGGCGGTAATTTGTTTTCTACATTTAGCTCTGCTTTGCAGAAGCCGGGCTAAATGTAGAATAGGAGAAATCACCTGTTTCTTTACAAGTAATCTCGGCGATTTCGCCAAGATTACTTGTAATTAGACTGCCAGTCCGTCCTCCCCCCACCGCCCCCCTCCTTCCCCTGCACTTACCTCTCTCCATTCTGCGTCCTCCTGGCTCCGTCCTCGCCGCCGCCGCCGCCATCCTCAGGATGGAGAGCGGGGAGCAGAGCGGCAGGGTTAAAAGTAATCCTACAGCTCCTTGTAGACAGTGAGAGGAGAGTGCTGTGCTAGAACGCCTGTATTGGAGGTGACAGGTTCAATAAAGAGAACCCGTCACCTCCAAATGCTATCACGCAGTGACTTGTCAGCTCCTGTGTGATAGCAATAAAGTTAGGTGATAAACAAAAGTGATAAAAAAATGATTACATGAATAAAAATAAGTAAAAAATAATAAGTAATAATAATTACATTAAAAAATAAAGTAATAGATAAAGTAAAAAATAGTAAGAAAAATATAAATAGCAGAGATGTCACCAGCACACCAAAAAAGTTTCAGCAAAAGTCCATTTAATGACAAGTGCTTTCGGGGGCCTCAATGGTTCCCCTTCATCAGGTTCCCCTTCTGAGCCTGATGAAGGGGAACCTTCAGGCCCCCGAAAGCACTTGTCATTAAATGGACTTTTGCTGAAACTTTTTTGGTGTGCTGGTGACATCTCTGCTATTCCTCTGAAATTTAAAGTGGACCTTTCAGTCCTTTTACAAGTCTGAACGAATAAATTCCTGATGTGCAACCCTCCACCAGAAGATCTCCACCTGTTATCGTTAAGGGGCAGTCAGTGACTTTGCATAGGCTGAGATAATGTCTACTACAGGCAGGAGGAAGCATTTCCTCAGTCTCTCCTCTCCCAGTGATCAGTCTGCTACATAGATCAGTCTGCTGCAGCAGGAGGAAGTATTTCCTCAGTCTCCCCTCCCCCAGTGACCAGTCTGCTGCAGGCAGGAGGAATAATTTCCTCAGTCTCCCCTCCCCCAGTGATCAGTCTGCTGCAGGCAGGAGGAATAATTTCCTCCCTCTCGCCTCCCCCAGTGATTAGTCTGCTGCAGGTAGGAGGAAGCATTTCCTCAGCCTCCTCAGACTGCAACATTGTAAGTTTGTAGCCAGTCACAAAGTGAGAGGCTCCAGCAAGGGTGGGTCTGTTTGAAGTTACAGTCCACATATATATTTCAGTTTAAGTCCCCTTTAAAGTGAAGTATTTCCATGGGGTCCAAATATTTGTAGTTACGCCCCTGAAATGAATGATGTGCAGTATTAATGATTACCGAGCTGCATTACTTTGCATGTTGTATATATGTCTGGAGCTCAGCTACAAGGAACTATAACCGTTTCACCTCCCAATATCTATCACCGCCGCTCCCCAACACAAAAAATACTCAAACTTACGTCATAATCAGAGTCTCTTCTCCCGGTTCCCCCAGCACACCGTCCACAAACAGCGGGTTGGAGGTGAAGGTGTATTTGCTCCACGATCTCCCCTCATCAAAGCTCAACCTGGAAAAGGAAGAAAACATTTTCTGGGAAACAGGTTTGTGATCAAGCTGATGAGCATGACTGACTTCATTCTGACCAGAAGTAGTTTTATCACACATAGGGGCTGATTTCTACATCTTCTGCACAGTGTATAGCTGGGTGAAAGCCATTTGCACATCACTACATGCAGCCACTAGGTGGAGCCAAGGAGCATAGAAATTTACTAGGTTCATCGGTGCCATCTAGTGGCAGAAGTCATATACGAACGGCACTCACCCAGCTATACGCTGGGTGGATGATATATAATTCAGCCCCTTAGTGTAATAATACATAGTTACATTGTATTTGAGGTTGAATAAAGACTCAGGTCCATCAAGTTCTAGCATTTTGAGCGTGTGTGTATGTGTGTGTACAAAAATAAAAACCAATAGCGCCAGCATTAACCACTCCCCAGAAACGCGTCAACCAAGGCATATTGTGCTGTTACACAGGGGCCATCATCTGTGCATCTCTCACATGCTGTGTCTTGCTTTTTGTTAAGATTGAGGATCAACTTCTAAAAATTTATCTGAACTAGGAAGGCACCCCCTGTTTTTGTATGTGTGTGTGTGTGTGTATGTAGGTCTATGTGTGTTCCAGAGGGTCAAAGCATCCACTGCAAAGTACATAATAAATGCATGTTCTGCCGCCAAGCTCCATTGCTGGCTGAAGAATATTTAGAATCTGAAACTTTGTGGTGGCTAAATACCTGCCTCCCCCTGCTGCACTCTGTGGTAACTCCCTCATACTCCATTGTCCCTTCAGGACACAGTAGAGCCATAAGAGCCAGCGGGTTGAACCAATGAGCACAGCAGGGGGGGGACGGACATACAACTAGGAGTGTCAGATTCTGAAGATAATTCTGCAGAGTTTAGCAGTATGGGCTGTGGGGTGTTTTTACCATCTCCAAGTATTTACCATTGCCTCTGCAGGGGATCTTTTTGGCAGTTTTATATTAGCGAAAGTTTCAATAAATGCCTTTTGTTTGCCAGAGGGAGGGGGGGAGAGAGAGAAAGAGAGAGAGAGAGAAAGGAAGAAGGAGGAAGAAGGAGGAGGAAAAGGAAGAAGGAAGAGGAAGAAGGAGGAAGGAGGAGGAAGGAGGAGGAAGGAGGGAGGAGGAGGAAGGAGGAGGAAGAAGGAGGGAGGAGGAAGAAGGAGGGAGGAGGAGGAAGGAGGAGGAAGAAGGAGGAGGAAGAAGGAGGGAGGAGGAGGGAGGAGGAGGAAGAAGGAGTATGAACCAGGAAGAGAAAGAAGGAGGCAGAAGAAGGAGGCAGAAGGAGGAGGAAGAAGGAGGGAGGACAAGGAGGAGGAAGAAGGAGGGAGGGCAAGGAGGAGGAAGAAGGAGGGAGCACAAGGAGGAGGAAGAAGGAGGGAGGACAAGGAGGAGGAAGAAGGAGTATGAACCAGGAAGAAGGAGGAAGAAGAAGGACGAAGGCAGAAAAAGTTTGCCTGAGGGTGACTCTTGGAGGCAAGAGTCAGAGGGGAGAGAGAGAGATAGATAGAGAATAGATAGATATTTCTACACACGCATACGTAATATGTCCATCCAATTATTCAGAGGAGCCGATAGACCAGGTGTGTATCATCCATGACTTCAGCACACAATGATCCCCTCTGAAGGGCCGCACATCACTCCCTCTATACACAGTGTTAGGAGACGTTGAGTTACGGGCCGGAGGGGAATATTGGGTTTTTCTTGGGATAATTGCCCTCCTCAGACACACAGCGTATCGCGCCCACACGCTGCGCAATATTCCGGCGTCACGTTTGGGGAAAAGTATACAATTCAGCGCATCTTCCGAAACATTCCGAGAAACAATTCTTTTTTTCTTCTGCGCACATAATGGATGAGCTATTTGATTAGATTACGCAGCGCTCAGCTTCACCCCGGGGCTCCTCTTGTCTTTGTCGTAGATTGCTATTCCTTTCTTCTTACCAGAGCGGAGAAAGCTAATAAGAGGTCTTTTCAGACATAAGCTACTTGCCAGACTCAGCACAAAGACCAGCCACTGCTACAACCGACTCATCCTCCGCTTCTGCTTTGTTTGACTTTATTTTGCCTTAATGATGTGAACGGGTCGGCTTTTTTAATGGGAAAAAAAATATACAGGGTTATTCACAAAAGGTTCGGAGAAGGCCAGAGAAGGGAACAATCTAGGACAGCATAGTTGAACTGGAAAGTGAACTGAATGGGAGAATGTTTCCAAATCAGCCATGTTGTCCTAGATTGTCACTTCTCCGGCCTTCTCCAAACTTTTGTGAATAGACCTGATAGAGTTTGTTTTATATTTAATGGACAACTTTACGAGGAGCTTCCTGCACCGTACGGCAAACATTTTGTAGACACTTGGCCATCACACCTACCAAACTTATGTGGACATTCCTCCAAATGATGGAGTTCAGGTGTTTCCCATGAAATGTTAAAGCTCATCTGAGGGGATCCAACCCCCACCACCATCATTGGACCACTCAATCTAATAGTTTAGTTAGTTTCAAAAATACCCTAAAAGCCGAAAAGCCTAAATCCATGGCCATGTGAAACCATGAGTCCCGAGTGTTCTATCTTCTTCCAGTGTGCTTCTTATGGTGCCCATGTTGACATGGACACTAGACATGTAAATTTCATTTTGTTCCAAATTCAAATTTGGATGAAATTTCATGAATTTGGAATCATCTTTTTTTTGTTCCAAATGCCAAGGCGGAATGCAAATTTTGTTGAAAATTAAACTATGTTGGAAACAAGTCCCCGCCCCATTCAAAACTAAAACGAAATTCCCAAACCCAAAAGAAAGAAAAATCCAAAATTAAATGAAACAATTTATTTGCAAGGTTACATGTCTAGTGGACCCTTCCTATTGGCTGTCTGGCAGTTTGCTCGATGAAGGGATCCTATGTGGCCCCAAAATGTTGCTTTGTGATAATAATGTGAACGTGCATCAATAAAAAGACGTATTGGTATCACAGTTGAAGTGCCGGTGCCAACCGCTTATCATTGCAGCACCCACCATGGACTATATTGGAATACTACGATCAGAAGTGCGATAGGAATCTTCAAGCTCCAAAGACTCAATGACATATAAAAGAGGGGGCCAGTAGGCATGGGCACAGATTGTAGGGTTAGATCATCAGTCTCCATGCATAGAAGTGGTGCCAGTAAAGGACTTGGACATGGGATATAGGTATGGAAAAAACACATAGGGCTCTTTATATCTAACTAGGGTAATGGGTGGGAAGTAGGGATTGGGGGGTGGGAAGTAGGGATTGGGAAGTGGGAAGTAGGGATTGGGAGGTGGGAAGTAGGGATTGGGTGGGTAGGGAGTGTTTGCCTGGATATAGTTACAACATACAAAGACACTTTTTCGAGGCTACGTATTAGAATTAAGACCCGATAAGTCATAATAGCTCATTTGGAAATACAAACCTTTAGCCATCACAAGAACGTCAGAAGATTATCCCTCGAGATCCCTTCGTTCATCTTCTTAGCAGTTCATCCAGGGGGGGGGGACTACAAGTCCTATGTGATATTTTTTTTTGCTCCGTTTGTGAGTATAATGTGTTTTTTTTTTAAATATTATTTTCACCAATAAAAAGGATCACTGCAAAAGGTCAGGCGCTCGATGTTCTTTCTTCTTAAATCTATTTTTTAGCTGAATTTTTTTTGGGTTGTGCTAAAATGTGTCATAGAAAAATTGTGACTGCCACCATTTTATTCTACAGGGCCTCTGACTTCAGAAAATATATAATTCTGAGGGGGACAGCAGGACCCTTTTTGGAGCGGATTTTGCCGCAATTCTAGCTTGCTCAATGCAAGCATTTGTGCGATATCGCGTGATAAACGTGCGATATCGCACAAAATGCAAATCGCGCAAAAAAATGCGCGATTTGCAAATCGCTCAGTGTGAATGGGGCCTTAAAGGACATGTCACAGGGTTAATTGGTGCTTTTGGTTATTGATCCCAATTTCCAGGAACCCCGTGCAGCTGCAACGCAAATGTATTTAAGCCTTTGTCGTAATTACCATAAGTGCCGGATTGGCAGGGACGTGTGCTTCATGGCCACCAGGACTCCGCCTTGATCCAGGTACAAGACGCTGTGCTCCTCTTCAAAGATCTGAAACAAACAACCTGCTTTAGAAACGATGTGAGAGGGAAACAAGCGCCGCCATCAAGCGCAACCGGTCCTCCAGAAAGTTCAAAAGTGGAAATGTCTCATCTGCACTTCTCGCTGCTCGTGTGATTTCAGGAGACAGAAGGAACTCGGAGACGGGATGCTGGAAAGCCTGAGGCTAAGGCCCCGGTTTTTTGTTTGTAACATGAAGAGCGATCAACGAACGCTTTTCAACTCCGACAACCGGGGAGGAGGACTGGGGCCTCGGAGCTCTTTTGTCTGCTAATTATGATCTAAAATGCACGACGGAACAGCCGAACAGCGGCAGGAGGACGGCGGAGAACGCTGTGATCTCTGCGATGTTCTCACCGACGGGAAATAAAAACTGTTCTACAAGAAACCTTTCTTGAAAGGAACATGCAGGCTGCCATGGCTGCCGTCTTGTTCTGCAAATGTCGGCCGCCTTCGCTGTCTAGAACAGATATGCAGCTAAGGACCTAGGGGGTGAAATTGGCAGGTTTTTTGCTTCACTAAAATTTAGGTAAAATTTTGATATTTCAGTGGAATTTAACTATTTAGGCAAAATACATTGGGCAAAGGCCAAATGAAGAGGTTATAATTTCTCGATTAATCGTTAAACTTTTTGATCGATTAAAATTATTTTGATCGCTAATGAAAACACTCACCAGTCCGCCGGCTTCCGGGAGTGCCGTCGGCGACCTGGTGACGTCACGGACATCGACGTCACCGGACTCCTCCCCCCTTTCCCAAGTGGCTCCGTCAGCTAACGAAGGGATGGGGGGAGGAGTCAGGTGACGTCGATGTCCGTGACGTCACCGGACTCCTCCCCCCTTCGTTAGCCGACGGAGCCACTTGGGCCGGTGAGTTTGCCCAAAAAAACTTTCTGCACGAGCGCCAGCCAAGGCATTGGCCTATACACATACAGCACAGCAATGAAGTCATAAAATGAACTAGGATCACACTAATCCAGCACGTTATTAATCTGAGTTGCCCCACTCAAGCGGCGGCCATATTGAGTGGGGCACGTGAGATTAGTGTGATCCTAGTTCATTGTATTACTTCATTGCTGTGCTGCATGTGTATAGGCCAATGTAGTTGGATCTGTATGTGCGTTATAATTAATCAAAATTAATCGATCGATTAAAAAAAATTTGATCAATCGAACACGAAAATTTTAATCATTACAAGCCCTAATTTTTTTGTTTAATTTATTTATTTTTAAACAATAAAATACAAAAAAAATACATTCTTGTGCAGTTTTTTTTTAAACTATTTTTGAACATCCCCCCTTACTCTGAGTTAGGCTTTAAAAAGTTTTGAATCCGAAGAATCAGAAGAACAGCCAGCCAATATATATTTTCAGAAGGTTCAGCAGTGGATGTCTGTCTCTGTGTATCTTTAAATGCCCGCTTCACTAAAATGTTGTTAAAAATAAAAATATTTGAAATTTCTGTAGCATTTAATGGTTTCTGCAAATGAAATTTTTTTTGTGTGTGTTTATTTTATCATTTGTTTTTTTATATATTTAAATTTTTTTGCAGCAAGCTACTAAAAAATTAAACGATTGCAAAAATAGTAACATTAAATGTTTGCACAATTTACTTTACTTAATTTACCTTACTGTGAGTTGGGAGAAAAATCAGCATAGCAGCCAGGCAATGCACATTTTCAGAAGGTGGTCAGCAATGTATGCCTATTTTTTTATTTTTTTACTTTTATGTTGCTATTTCAGGGGACCTAGATATTTTAAGTGGACCTCACTTTTTGCTGCATTGTCTGCTTTAATGTATAATTGAATAAGTTGGGGGAATTTTTGTTGAACCTGATTTTGCCTTTGTAAAAAAAAATTGCTTTAAAATTCACCGATTGGGTGAAATTGGCTTAAAAAGAAAAAATCACATGGCTTTTGTTTTCTAACAATTCCCATGTCATCAATAATTAGGACTGACATATTTTGTGACATCCAATAGCTGCAGCGGGAAAACACTCTTTGCCCCGCTACACTGGCAGTTTCCAAACATTTCAGCAATCGCCTTCAATTTTTTCGTATTAATTTGCACTGTGACGGTCGCACCAATCAGATCACAACTGTCATCTTCCAAGTTTAATTCACATTAATTGTTCGAAGCCAATAGGGACAGTTCTAAAATCACCCAATAAAAGAAGAGTAATAATACTGACTGTTCTAGCACCAGTAGCTTTGATCTCCGCTCCCATGTAGGCTAAAGAATCTTCAGCATTAGACACTTGGGTGGCTGTGTCCAGTGGCTCCACCCACCTCCATCTACTTCACTACGGTATCCCTGCAGGTCCATAGTCACATAGCAGCTGGTGGGTGGAACCACAGCACTCAGTGAGGGCATCAGGAGATATCAGTTCCACACCCCTGGCTGCCCCTCTACTCCCTGCTGCCCCAAGGCCGGGGCTTGGTTGGCCTTGTGGGAAATCCGGCCCTGCGTTGAAGCATCAGATGATGCTGAAGGTTCTTTAGCTCTACATGACATTGAATATCATAGTCCCCACCCACCAGATAGGTCCAGGTATATATATTATTACCCTTATTTTACAGGGTGGATTTTTGGAATTTTCTTTTTTTTTGTAAGACGGAGTTGCCTTCAGCTGACCATACATCTTAGAATTGTACAATCTCCTTTAGGTTCTCCAACAACCATGTTGCGTGGTGCTACCTCAACAATCCATTCAATAGATGTGCAGCCAGTCTGGCCCTGGTAAAGCAGAATGTTTGGTAGATCTAAAGGAGGTTGTAAAATCAGGTTGTAAGGCAGGGGTAGGCAACCTCGGACCTCCAACTGTTGTCCCATGAATAGGGCATGACAGAACAAACCATGGGGTTCCGTACAGTCAACCCGACAGGGCCCCCCTGGTCAACCCCGTTGCATCAATCAATGGAATGTCACGACATTTCGAAGCATTATCAGACATTGTATGACAACAAGTAATACGGTTCAAAGAATTGTACCGGACAGCCCCTGACAAGCCTGGGCCCCCCTGCTGACCCAATAGGGCTCGAGCCCAGTGCAAGCATTCTGCCTGTACCTCCCCTTTCAACAGTCCTGCCCATGAAGCATTGCAAGACTCTGACAGCCACAGACATGGCTCCCAGAGGCAGATGCATGATGGGATTGGTATGTTTCACCACAGCTGGAGGGCCAAGGTTGCCTATCCCATGTTGTAAGGTGTACAGCCAGCTTTACATAGGATGCTCCGATAAGCGAGACCCGGTGTGAGTATAAGTGTGTGCATGTGGCCGTCTAGGATTTCCCCAGCGTAAAGTCAGCTCTATATATTTTATTTTTGGAAATAAATTGGGCAAGTTCCCCCGGGATCTTCACGTCCCCCAGTCATGATACATCTTCATCAGATTTTGCCGTCTGCCAAGCAGCGCCGGTTTGCCGGTCCTGTCTCCAGACCTTTGCCCAGACATCCACCGGTTCCCCCCACAGAGGCTGCTGTCGCTCACGGGGTCGGCAGTCGAGAACGATTTGCATCAGGTGACATATGTCACCATTAGCGCTACCTGTCTCCACGTATTGCCTGCGTCGGAAGAAATGAACATGCTGATCTCATTTTCTGTTAGCTCCGAGCCGATGTTCCCTGTGGCAGAGACAGAGAAGGACGTTTATTAGAACATTGGATGAGTTGTGTTATTGAGGAAACTATACAATGAGAGGTGCCGGGAACCTTTCCGTTATTCTGCAATCATTTATAATCTAATGAGTATATATGTGTACATGTCTATCTATATACTGTATATTTATACTGTATGTGGTAAGTAATTGTAGAGGGAGACAAGCCCTTACGCTGCCTGATGCTCTCCCTCCACAGCCCGCCTCTCAGCCCCCCTCTCACCTGCTGACAACACCCCCTCTACTCTCTACCTGCACTGGCTCCTCTGCCCTGATTGGCCAATGGTGCTGTGGCATTCTATTTGTGCATTACAACCCCAGGGCTTTGGGCTTGTGATAGCGTATTGCTTCCTGAGCTCTGAGCCTTGTCTTTGGATTGTCGCCGCCTGGCCTGACTTCCCTAGCCTGGGCATGATTTACCTCTCTGTTTACAACCAGCCCTGACCCTTGCTTGGATAATAGATTTTGCAACTTTCTGCCACTTCCTCTGATCCTTGCTTGGATATCGGATTACATTACTGTCTGCTGCCTGCCCTGACCTTTGCTTGGATATCAGATGGTACTATCTGGTGCCTGCCCTGACCTTTGCTTATAGATCAGATGATGGTACTGTCTGCTGCCTGTCCTGACCCTTGCTTGGATATCAAAATACACTACTGTCTGCAGCCTGCCCTGACCTTTGCTTGGATATCAGATTACGCTACTGTCTGCTGCCTGCCCTGACCCTTGCTTGGATATGGGATGACATTAGTCTCTGCTGCCTGCCTTGACCTTTGCATGCATATCAGATTATAATCCTGTCTGCTGCCTGCCCTGACCCTTGCTTGAAAATCAGATTATGCTACTGCTTGCTACCTGCCCTGACCCTTGCTTGAATATCACATTACACTACTGTTTGCTGCCTGCCCTGAATTTTGCTTGGATATTGTATTATGCTTCTGTCTGCTGGCTGTCCTGACCTTTGCTTGGATATCAAAATACACTACTGTCTGCAGCCTGCCCTGACCTTTGCTTGGATATCAGATTACGCTACTGTCTGCTGCCTGCCCTGACCCTTGCTTGCACATCAGATCACATTACTGTCTGCTGCCTGCCCTGACCCCTGCTTGAAAATCAGATTATGCTACTGCTTGCTACCTGCCCTGACCATTACTTGGATATCAGATTAGGCTACTGTCTGTTGCTTGTCCTGACTGTTGCTTGGATATCAGATTATGCTCCTGTCTGCTGCTTGCCCTGACAATTGCTTGATTATCAGATCACATTACTGTCTGCTGCCAGCCATGACCACAGCTGGCATCCATCCTGTTACTAGACAAGGTTGCTTCAGCATACAGCACCTGCCTTGAACAATACCGCATTTTGAGGCCATCTGATACAGTGCATGTGCTCTCTTTTTTGGATTGTAGGGAAGCATTCCTCCCTGCAAATATAGCATTACGCCCCAAGTCCTGTTGGCATCCTAGTATCACTTTGCCTACTTGTCTTAAGGGAAAGGTGACTGCTAAAGGGGAAACTGGGCAAATAGACAAGAACTGGCAAAGCTTGCACTATCATCTACTTGCGTTTCACAGAGAGGCTTAGAGACCTAGTGATGGTATAACTGGCCTCCTAATTGGCAGCGCTCAGGGAGAGGGAGGGGCAGAAGTAGGGTCTGCCTATGCTGTGCTGATGACAGGTGGAGAGTGAGCAGAGCTGTTGTTGCTCCTCAGAGGAGCTTCCTCTCCTACCTCCTGCCAGCTGAACTCCCCTGCTCTGAACTGGCTCTACCATACTGCACAGCCCTATCTGGCAAGACCTGATCTTTCTCTGCTGCAATTCAGTAACATTTACAGGTCTTGTACCCTACCCCCAGCTTGTGTTTGGACAGTGAAATGAGAAGCAACTGACTCATTTCTCTACACAGGGCCGAAGCTAGGGGGGGCTGGGGGGGTATGTGCCCCAGGTGCTTTAAGAGGAGCACCACTGGGTGTGTGGATGGAGAACTTCTCCCTTGAGAGGAGCAACTATGAGCCTTTGCCCCGGGTGACAGAATGTCTAGCTTCCCCACTGCCTCTATAAATCTGATCTTCCTTTCTATCGGCATTGCAGCACACCACAACACAACCATTTGGCTCCTTGTGCTGCTACTTCATCCCCTAGTCTGAGCTTTGCTGTACAGCTGCAAAAGGCTGATACCAAGAAAATGAAGGTACTCGCAGGTATAATGTAATGGCGTTTTATTAAATAAAGAGCTGCTTTAATGAAGTTCAGATCATCAGATCAGGTCATGATGGAGTGTCATGACTTGGTCAAGGTTGGGCAGTACCATCCTATCGGATCACCAGAACAAGACAGACTGTGCTAGAAAATACTTTCCCCCGCCGCCATCCCTACATTTTAAGTATCTTCCGAAGCTCGTACTTATCTATAAATGTGATTTAGACTTCCAGAGGTTTACAAGCCTCCACATTTTTTTTTATTTTACGAGGCTCCGAGGCATACGGCAGGGGTTCCGTTCCTCTCATTATACCCACGCTGTGCTGTGTAATTAGGTGCGCACAAGTACCTGAAGCCACGATGATGCCGGGAGCTGTATCGCGGCTAGCGATGTTTCCAGTGGTGTACGGGTTTTCGGATACCTTCAGATGTAGGTGTAAGGAGCAATACGGCTGAAAGGGAAGAAAAACGAGAGACGTTAATGGATTCGGGACTGAAGAACCCACCGGGGTCGCTTGGTTGTTGCGTTTTGTTCTGCGGCATTGCGGATATCGTAGATTTCATGAGAGGCAACTTGCTGTAAAAAATGGATTGCTGCTATTTTTAGCAAAAAGTGGTCAAGCAGCACAAGACATATATGGAAGCCCATCTCTGGGCAAACCAAAAAGTACCCTTGCAGTGGGGCTACCCCCTACCGCAAAGGTTAAGTGCTCGTTTTCATCTATGGCAGGGCTTCTTAAAGTGGTGTCGCGCAAGTGAATGAGGGAGGGTCGCAAATGAAAATCTGAATCCCTGGTCAGGGCCCCCATCAGGGGGGTACGACCAGTACTCATGTGAGGGGCTCAGGCGGCCGGGCGGGGATACGGGCTCCAAGCAAGACTTTTTTTATTATAGATTACTATGTGCAGTGTAATTGGTAATGTCCCGGGGCCCCCCTGTGCAATTGGTACCTTCTTGAGTACTTGCGTGCAGGAAGGTTTTTTTTTTCCCAAGGGGCGGAGCTTTTTTGTTACCAGATGTTGGATCGGCTGAGTCGAAGTCCTTCTGCACTTCGGCTCACAGAACATGCAGAACATGTTTGGCTGACCGAAGGCAGCTGATGTGCAGCTGATTTTAGTCGATGTACGGCTGAAATCAGCCATACAAGGCTCAAGTGAATAGCCAAAAGGCGTTCGGCTAACTTCACTTCGACTCGGTTATTCACTCGGCTGCCTTCAGCAGCTAAGTGAATAACCTCCTTTGATTTCCGGTGCTAACTTTTATATGAAATACCATTTGTACATAACACATTGTATTACGTTGTACATCCATACGACCTGGCTTATACTTTCCTAAATAAAGGTCAGAAATGTGCGCCGTGCCTATCGAGCCACCTGATTACCATACTACGCAGATATGAAGATCCAAATGCAGCTCCCTTCCCCCATCTTGTGGTCACGCTTAGAACTGCACCCTCCAAGTAAAGATCTCATCAACTTGACTCTGAATTCCACCGGCCCATTTGGTTGATTAATTTCGGCAATAAATTGATATTTGCTTTTCTTAATTTGTCTGGATTTCAGCGGAATGCTTTCTTAAGATCTATTTCGTTTTAGATTTCCACGTAGCCGCCGTCGGGGCAAATATCACGGGGGCCCTCTAAAATAACTCACGTTTTGTTACGATTCCTCGTGTAATGACGGCGATAAAAGCCGCATTAACATTTACTGGAAGTAGTTATGTATATTTTTATAGAGGGGAAAGACCAAAATAAATCTTTGTGCGAATCCGCGGCGCTTACGGTTAATTTGTCGCTATTAGATTATTATATATAAACACCGATAAAAGGAAAGTGATGCTGAGCAAATACGTAGGGTGACCTTTGCCTCTGAAGAATGCTAGTTGCCGGGTTCTCAGGCTGACCTGATGGCTTTGGTACTTTCTGAGTCGCTGACCTGGAATAAGAATGCTGGATAAAGCGTATGCAAAGATATCCGCAGCCAATTTGAATTTGAGATTAGAACAGCCGATGTTTCAGCATAGGGAAGGCCTTCAATGAATTTTAAAAGATTTGAGCAAAATGGCTTCAGGCACCCAGCTTGGTATCAAATTGGTGAGAACAGGAAAGATGCTTTAGGCCCAGAAATGTTGTAGTAATACTTTGTATGGCATTTCTTTTTTCAATTTTTCAGACCAGAGGGATGGGATAGATCAGAATGTTTCTATATTTTTCTTTTTTTTTTCTTCATGGATTTATGGTGCTTGATGTCCCTTTTATTAAATATATACAGTATATGCGTGTTTGTGTAAATATATATAGATAGATATATATATAGTAGATGAGATAAGAATGCTGGGAAGGTTGAGTCCATAAAACAGGTGTTTGCCCTGTTTAAATAAATTCAATAAACAGATTACAATGTGGTGTTAGTGTTGAGTTTAGTTTGGTATTCTTTGTTTTTCATATGCATTTATTTATCTATGTGTTTATTATGTAAATGTTCATTTATTTGTTTATTTGTTTTTTTATGTGTTCAATGTAATTTATTTATTTAAGTATTTAATTATTTATGTATGTGTTTATTTATTTTATTTCTTTATAAGTTTGTTTATTTATGTATTTATTTAGAATGCAGTCTGATTTGTATTGATATTTTTTTTCTTTGGTAAGTGTGTCTGTCCGAAAAAAAAACAAAAAACTTTTTCCAATAAATAAAATACACCAAAAAAACCAAAAACATATGTAAACACAATCACTAAAGTGTCATATAAACTTTATCATGTTAATGGCATCATAAAAGTGACATTAATATGTAATATTTGTACATTTACAGTTTTCATTAAAGTGATCTACGGTGATCTTGTAGAGAAAAGAGTTCAAAACTATCAATGATAAAAATTTTTTTACAGAAGAAGAACATAAAGTGACCAACGCGTTTTGGAAGTAAAACTAACTTCCTCAAAGCTTGAATCTTTTGAATAATAGGACCAGGGATGGTAAAGCATAATCACCAGGGATGGTGAGGTGAAACCATCATCTTGGAAGCATTGGGAATCTTAGTGCATCATTTCCCCCCCACCAAAATGTAAAAAGTTTTGAGAAAGGACCCTTTAGGGTCAGATGCTGTACAGCTCTAATATCTCCAGTGTTATATGCATATATGCTGAGAGGAAGGTATCCTGTCAGTGAAATGAAGGACTTCTCCAAAGAGACTAGAGGAAGAGAAGAAAATAAAGAGAGATTGCCAAGGGAGAGATCCAAATGTAGCAAATCAAACAAAAAAACTGAAGGTTCTGAAAAGGAGTAGTGTAATGATGAATTCCTGTATTCACATCTGTGGCGTTGCAAGATGCCCAAGTATTGTATACACTGAGTGGGCAGATTATTATGACCACCTGACGTTTATAGGCAAATTAGCTATAATTTGGCGCTGAAGTTGCTAGAGGGCCAGACCATTATAAATAGGGAAGCAGCTTGTTTACCACGACAGTAGAAGGGATTTGTTTCTGAAGATACGGGGAAACAACGCGATTTAACAGCCTTTGAACGCGGGATGATTGTTGGCGCTCGGAGCCATGGAGCGAGTATCAGCAAAACAGCAAAATTCGTTAAATTTCAAGAGCAGCTGTTGTTAAAGTGTTTAAAGACCGGACTGTCAGACGAAAATCTGGGTCTGAAGGTGTGAATTGTGGCCGTCAGCGACTAGTCAATGTTAGGGCAGAACGGGGGAGGGGCAAGACTGGTACAAGACAACAGAAGGGCAACAGCGCATTGTCAGATTCCTCGCATCACCTTTCATCATCTCATGGAGTCACGAGGCGGCCCAACTAAGTCATCTCGTGGCCCAACGAAGTACTGATGGGGTGGTCATAATAATCTGGCCACTCACTGTATTCTTATAATGTATACTTAAAGGTACACTAAACTCGGGAGTTAAATCCTAAAAATGCATTAAAGTCCCTTAACTAATAACAACAATGTATCTTATTTGTGTATCACTCGGCTGTAGATCCTCCAATCATCTCTGAATTGGTGCCGACACTGTCCTTCCTTCTGGAGGGGGGGCTACGTCTGTACCCCATGGTCCCTGTGTGTGTTGTAAAGTAGTCACCGCTCCAAGCTCGCTCCCGGGATGGACTACAATCTCACGTTTAGTTTATTAATTTGCATTGAGATTGTAGTCCATCCCGGGGGCCGGAGCTTGGAGCGGTGACTACTTTACAACACACACAGGGACCATGGGGAACACAAGTAGCCCCCCTCCAGAAGGAAGGACAGTGTCAGCACCATTTCAGAGATGATTGGCGGATCGACAGCCGAGTGATACACCAATAAGATACATTGTTGTTCAGAGTTAAAGTACATGGATGTATTTTTAAGATTTAGCTCCGGAGTTTACTTTCACTTTAAGAAATACTTTTGACGGAAAGACTTTGAAGCAGCGTTCTTCACTACAGGCACCTCAGCTGATCTGACCTCCATCTTTTTGTGGCGCCACCAATTTCCTATCTCATCCTTTTGGTTAGGTTTTTTTATGCATGAACTGGTATTGATTGGTATATTATAGCGGCATTTCTCTTCTAATTGCCCGTGCTGGTTGAATGCAGGGGTGCCCGTCTTAGCTGGGATGTTAAATGACAGGTCTATTGTGTTTTGATGGCGGTGGTACATATTGTACTTTGTATTTTTTGTAAACAGTGTATCTATTTTTGAACAATAAAGAGTTGGCTGAGTGCAAAATGCTTCTGCTCTTGCCTTTTGAAATCATAGAGAACATGTAGCTCTGGACCCCTATGCAGGTTCACTCCAACGTAGACAGACTACAAACAAACATCTTTCCATTTTATTTACATGAAGAACAATGTCCATAATTTCCCCTCATCCTGAAAATAAAAACCTGCCTTCCGTAATGAGAATTTACAACCAGCTGTGAAACAAATCTCCGAAGGGGACCGTTTCAGGTCTCCTACTGCAGCTTGTAGTGGGCTCCATATTGATCACCCCTCCGAGGAGATGTGAACTATAATGTACACTCAGCGCATGTATTATAATGAATACAATGGATTTGCTGATTTTAAGCGATCAATACGTTTGATAGAAATCCCCTGTCTGGTCTTCTGCACGAGTCTTTTTTTTCCCACATTGAAGTTCCGATATTCATGCGGATTGATTTTGGATGTAACTAGGAAGTTATTAAACGGGTAAAAAAATATATCTGTGCTGCATTAATGTAGGAATATATTCAGAGGCTTAGCCATCGGGATGCTTCTTTCCGTTGATTTATGAACGTCTGCAATGGAAAGATGTGACGGTGATGTCAGTAGAATTAGAAAACGGAAAAGTAGACGGATCCGGGAAAAAAAGAAAAACAAAATTTAACAAGGACGTCAACTGAGGAAGTTATTTTAACTGTCTTCTTTCTTTTTGTTTAGAATAATAAGACATGTAAGTTTTGTTTCATTCCGAATTGAA